CTCTGAGAGCTGCACCAGAGCCCAGTGCTTTCTGCCCAGGACTTTGGGAGTGTTTCCATTTTGCAGGGATTTAGAGGAAAATTCCATCTCTTCATTCTTCTTCACTGTGTTCCCCTCCAAGCTGAGTACAGCTCCCAGGACATATGTTGTTAGGGAGGTATTTGCATCCAGCTACAACCTAGAAGCAAAATGCAGGAGGAGGAGCTGAGATGGAAGCAAAAAGCTGCTTTTTTTTTCCTCTATTCTCCAGATCCAGCTGCCTGAGCTAGTTGGGAGGGTTGATACCATGTCTGTAGGAGGTCAGAGGCTGTTTCCCAGCCCACCTGTGGCCTTCAGGGCCTCGTAGCTGTGTCAGCCTGATGAAATGTAGATGGTTGGCCAAGACATTTGTGTGACCTTAGACAACTGGGAGAACTTCCACACTGGATTCCTTTTAATCCTTTGGAGCTGTCTTGTCTATTGGAATGTGTCTGTTATGGAATAGAACTTTACATTCCTCTAGTTCTCATTGGAGTGTGTGTAAGAGGAGGACCCCCAGGTTCATGATGGGTTTGCACCAGATTCTGAGATGGTCCAAGAATCAAGCACTGCATTGACTCCTCTTTGTTTTCAGCTTTATTCCATCAGTGTAACGTAGTAGAGCATTAGTGAACCTTCATTTTCTGGAGGATCTTACAGAGGTGACATCACCAGGCACACATTTCATGGCTTCCACAGTTGGGATGTGAAGTCCATGATGACAGTCATTGCAGAGAGCCAAGTTTGGAGCAATCAGAAGCCAGCCAGTGATCCCCTGTCCCTTCTTTATCTGCAAATGAAAGTTTCCAAAGGGAGAGTAATTTATAGGATTTTGAAAACGTTGTTTACTGGCTGAAATAAACTTATTTTCCTAGATTTTTTTGAGTATTATTTCTGCATTTTGCCTCAGGCTGATATTCCATTTCTGAGCCTGAAGGTTCTGAGCCTTGCCATTGGGGCTGGTTGGGGTTTTTATCATTATAAATGAGGACTTGTCAGCATATTGGTTGTTCTCCCTTGGTGTCCACCACTAGGAAGCCTCACTGGCTAGTTCATGGTAACCTCATGAAACAGAGGGATGAATTGAAAGCTTTCTGGTGAAAGGATCTTCTGGCTGCCTCAGCTCTTTGCTCCCACACCCCTGAAGTTCCTCAGGTTGGGCTTCTTCAGATGTGCACATAAATGCACCCACTGGGGCAAGGAGGTGGGAACAGTTGGGTTTCATGGTCACTCCAGGGAAGCACAGGCCTGTGTGAGGCCTTTCAGAAGCTGATGGTGTTGTAAGATTTTTCTGACCCTTGTTAAGTTCTAAAATCAGGTTTTTTGGGGAGTTTCACTGGTGCAGCTTATCTTCTGACCAGGCTGCCCAGGGCAGTGGTGGAGTCCCCACCCCTGGAGGGGTTCCCAAGCCCTGGAGATGTGGGGTGAGGGACACGGGGCAGTGGGGACCTGGCAGTGCTGGGGAACAGTTGGATTTGATGATCCAACCAAAAGGATTCTGTGATTCTCTGAGTTTTGGTGTTTACCTTCAGGTACATCTCTGGCAGGAGTAATGCCAGGCTCCTTCTAAAGGTTACCTCAAAGCAACCATAAGATGTTGTCACTCATTCAGTTGAGCCAACCTAGCACCCATCTGCAGAGAACTGGCATTATATGTAAAATATGAGATGCTTTACCTAAAGTCAGTGGAATTAAGTGGAAACTGAGTGTTGAAAATGCTTGAAAATCATGGGGGACCTGTCAGAGAGCTGGGGACAGGATTTTGAGCAGGGCCTGTTGGGAATGGTGGGATTCCAGAGCAGGACACTGAAGTGGGCAGGAGAATTACAGGAGTCCAGTCTGTGTGACACTACTGACATCTGAGGAAGCTTTCTAGATGGACTCCAAGAACATGGAGTGCTTGTTGCCTACCAAAATTACCTGTGGAAATGCTGAGAGAGAAGGTGGTGGGTGATGCCTGTACCCCTGCAGGGGGAGGTGGTCAGGGCAGTGATGCCATTCACCTTGTTCTCTGGCCCTGCACAGAGCTGGGCTGACCTGAGCTGGGCAGGTGGGGTTCATACCCTTACCTGGACTGGTCAGAGTAACTGGGTGGGAAAGCTCTCAGCTAGAAAGGAGCAGTTGAACTGGTTCTGTTAAGGTGTCAGTGGGGTCAGCTCTATGGAGAGCAGAACTGGGATGGGATTCCAGAAGAAGCCTTCACTGTCAAATCATAGAATCCTTGATGGTCAAAGAGATGGACAGATGGAGGTCACCCAGTCCCACCTCCTACTCAAATATGGGTCAGCTAAGAACACCAGTAGAGGAATCATTGAATAGTTCTAGTTGGAAGAGACCTTTATTGAGACCAACCTCCCCCAGCCCTGCCAGGTCCCCACTGCCCCGTGTCCCTCACCCCACATCTCCAGGGCTTGGGAACCCCTCCAGGGGTGGGGACTCCACCACTGCCCTGGCCAACCCTCAAGGGCAAGAAATTGTTCCTCAGCTCCAACCTCAACCTCCCCTGGGGCAACTTGAGGCTGTTCCCTCTTGTCCTGTCCCTTGTTCCTTGGGAGCAGAGCCCGACCCCCCCCTGGCTCCAGGCTCCTGTCAGGAGCTGTGAATCAGCAGAAGTTTTCCTAGAATAAAACCAGACATTAAGGTAAAGAAAAATTTAAAAAAAAGCAATCAGAGAGACTCTTTTATTTATATTTTCTCTTATGATTTTCTGTAATGAGCAGCTTGAAATACTGCAAATGCTGCTGTGGACTCTGGAAGGGCTGAGTGAGGTGATGTCACTGCCACAGAGGAGGCAATTTCAGGATATTAAGAAACAAATTAAGAAAAGAAACATAAAATGTTTTTTCAGCCTCCCTTTTGAATTGTGAATGCTCCAGGATGTTGAAGGACTGGAAGCTCACGAGGTATTTAACTTTTATAGAAGCCTATAGAATTTTCTTTCTAATTTTAAGAGGTTGTCACGTGCTGTGTTTCCTGAGCACTCATCCAGCTGTAGTGCTGATAAGATTCAAAAGGCTGCTGGGAGGAACGTTTGGTTTGCTTGCCAGCTAAGCCAGAGCTGCACCTTTGTGTTGGACAGAAGGAGAAGCAGAGAACGTGGCTCCTGAAAACCCTCCAGTGGCTGAAAATGGTGAAGCCCCCACTGATCTTCCACCTCAGCCCGTGCAAAGGTTTGTGCCTGTGCTTTGTGCTGTTTGAATGAAGTGAGGATGTGTCTGGAGGCAGTAACAGCCACTCTGTTTGGAAACAGCAGGGAAATTTGGAGCAGTAGGGTACCAAATAATGGATATTATCCCATGTGGCATTTTCACTTTATTTCCTTCCCATTATTCACTTCTCTTTATTCACTTTCATTTTCTTCTCTATGGAAGATTCAGCCTGGAGAGGAGAAGGCTCTGGGGAGACCTTCTGGTGGCTTGGTTGTCATTTTAGGATGCCTATTCTAGACTTCCCTAGACTCCTACCAGTGTAGCAAGTGTTGCAGTGAGTCCAGGGTCAGGGCTGGCCACCAGGGGAAGGGCAGATGTCCCCTGCTAACCCCCCTGCCTGCTCATGGGGCAGAGAAAGGGGATAAGGGAGAGGCAATTATGGGTTGGAAAAGAACTGAACCAGCTTTAATGAAAAATAATAATAGTTATCTGAAATATATAGAAATTTGTACAAAACCAGCACTGAACCCAACCCTTGATGGCAGTGACATCACTGTCAGCACTGATGCTGTGGAGCAGGCCCTGGGGGAGTCCCAGGCTGGACTCAGAGGCATACAGGAACCAGATTTGGGAGCTGGGTTCAGGAAGACACGGATCAGGTGCACCCCAAGGTGGGGCACAAGGCTGAGCAGGGACCTTGGTCTGCCCAGGAGCCACAGAGACCTTCAGGCAGCACTGGGAGTGAGGGGAGACTGAGCTGGGCAGCGACAGCCCTGCAGGGAGTCCCTTCTCCTCCAGCTCTAGCAGGACACGGGGGTGGGTGGTGTTTTTGGGGTGCTATCAGTGGTGTTCCAGCAGAGATGACAAAGCCCCTCTTGTCCTTGCAGGCGTGTCCCCAGGCCCAGCAGTGCCCGACCAGCCCCACCCCGAGTGAAGCCACCAGGGAGTGCAGAGCTCGTGCCCCCCGAGAGGTGAGGGGTGGGGGGACCCTCAGCAGATGGCTCCAGCTCTTCCTGGGTGCCTCACCTGCTGCTGGGCACCTTGGGGAGGGGTCACCTCACTCACTGCTCAGGCTGGAAGACTCCAGCCTGCTTCCTTTGCTCTTGGCTGCACAGCCAGTGGGTTGTCAGAAGCTGGGGGTGGCAGCTGGAGATGCAAAAAGAGGATTCAGGTTTTTTTGCCTTTGGGAGCTCTGAGGCAGATAATGCTGGAACATGAGTTTAAACTGCCACTGTAAAACCTGCAGTGAGGGGAGCCCTGGGGCTGTGCAGCTGGAGAAGCCTCAGAGGGGATCTGAGCAGTGCTGAGCAAGAGCTCAAGGGCCCCCAAAGGGCAAGAGGCTGGGGCCAGACTCTCCTCAGTGCCCAGCAGCAGGACAAGGGGCAACGGGCACCAACTGGAACCCAGGAGGTGCCACCTGAGCAGGAGGAGAAACTTCTCTGCTGGGAGGGTGCAGAGCCTGGAGCAGCTGCCCAGAGAGGCTGTGGAGTCTCCTGCTCTGGAGAGATCCCAAACCCTCCTGGATGTGACCCTGGGTGAGCTGCTGGAGCAGGGGGTGGGATGAGATGATCCCCAGAGGTCCCTTCCAACCCCCCCATGCTGGGATTCTGTGATCCCATGTTCAAAAAATGGTGAAACAGCCTCTTGAAACGATGGACCAAATGGTTTAATTGGTCTCTGATAACACCCAACACTGAAGTGCTGTGTTCAGAAGCAAAACTTAGATCCTGTTGTGAGAGAAGGATGTTTTCAGAGGGGGGTAGTGAGTGGAAGTGACAGAGTTTATCTGCTTTTAGTTGGTGCTGCTTCATTTCCTGGGTGGAAGGGAGGGTCCTGCTCCCTCATTTCTGGATAGATCTCAATTGCTTTGGACAGCTCTTAATCAGTTTTCATTTTCATTCTCTCCCTTCCAGGAGTGGGAGTGGTAAAACAGTCTCAACCATAATCCGAGACCAGGAGGTTTCTGATGATGAAGATGAGCAGTTTGTGGTGGAGGCAGCAGTGCCACTGCTGGGAATGCCAGAGCTGGAAATGGTCTGTTCACCTTGCAGATTACAGAACTTATTTTCCATATTTTCTTTGTAACTGGCTTGTTGAAGTAGTTTCTAGCTGAGTATTGTTGAATAGTTGTGTACTGTACCAAGTTTTTTGCCACTAAAGCTGTCTCCCTGCCTGTGTAGGAGCCAGAAGTGGAGCTGCTTGAGGATCAGAATCATGGTATGTTTGCTTTTACAGATATCCACCTAGATCTGTAGAATAAATCCATTATTTCAAACCTTAAACCACTGAAGAAAGCAGCAAAATACCTCCTGAGGGCCAGAGCTTGCAACTTTTGCAGGAAACCCAGAAATTCTTTACTCAATGGAGTCTTGTTTGCTCGTGCAGCTGAATTTACAATGGATGTTAAGTGGAGAATTTTTATAGGTCTTTAATGTCAGCAGGATTTAAAATTGTGCATGAAACCTCCTAAATTAATGTTTCTGACAGTGTCAGGTATAGCTTGTCAGCTCAAGATAGGAGGTGGGGTTGAGTTGTTCAAGGGAAGTTATCAAAGAGCTTTGAGAAAAATCAGTGGACTGGCTCCTAAAAACATTTGTGCTTCCACCTGCCCTCAGATCTCTCATCCAGGGCCTTCCACTGGGGTTGTGCTGGGTGTGATTTAGGCAGCTATGCTTATTTCCTTCCAAAAATCCCTCCCAAAGGCATATCCATCCCTGCACCTACCGTGCAGCTCTTGAATCCTTCCAGAAGAGGGGTGTGAAGGAAAAGCCTTGGTCTCAACACAGCTCAAGGACCTGCTGCTCGTGTTGCTCTGCAAATTGTTTCCATTAAAAGCCATGAAGCAGCTCATTTGTCATTTGGTTGTCTTTGAGTGTTGGAAAACCTGTTTGGGTGCCCAGCAGTGCTGAGAAATACCCTGATTCTCCAACAGGTGGGCTGGTGAAAAGGATCCTGGAGACAAAGAAAGATTACGAGGCCTCCCAGACCCCATCCAAGGCAGCAGAGAGGGTAAGGTGGGAATGGCCTTCAGAGAGCTGTGAATATCAACTGCTGGGTCCCTGACCTTCTCCTCTGCCTTAAATTTGGCTTTTTTTTCCCATTTATGATCCAGCTTTTCTCCTCAAAGTGTTGTGCTGCTTTTTTTCTCCACGAGATGTTGTTACCTCCTCCCTGCAGTGCTGCTGATCTCACCTGGTCATTCTTGTGGCTTCAGATTTTTTTTCAGGACAATTTTTCAGGGAGCTTCTTTAGCCTGTTCATTTGTTTTCCAGAAACAACAACTCTGGCTGATTTCAGCCTTGCCCTAGATCAGAAAATCATAAGGAATATCCTAAAGTCCTCTCTTCTCCAGGCTGGAAATAAGAAAACACCTTTAGTTTCCTGCTCCTAGTCTGCTCCTAGTAGTTAGTACTGACTAGTAATTAGTACTTTAACTACTTTAAAGTAGTTAAAGCTTTATCCCACTTGCTGAATCCCACCTTCTGCTATAAATGTGCAGCTTGTGGCATCTTGCAGGGGTCATCAGGAGCCTGTTGGCCAGTTCTGATGGACATACCTGGTGTCAGCATTTGCCTGCTTCTGTGAGACATCACTGCTTGGGGAGAGCCAGGGTGGAAATGGCTGTTGTGGGGGTGTTGAGCTGAGGGTTG